CATGGTGCACGCCTTCTCGACGACTTTATTGCACGCGCGACAGCGGACGGCTTGGGCACGGAGCTCGAGGTGTTCGCACAAAACGAAAAGGCTCTGCGGCTCTACGAAAGCCGAGGGCTCGCCACAGCAAGCCCGCTCTTCGGCTACGTTGCCGAGCCGAGCAAGGTGCCAACGACATCTGTATGCACGCCCGATTTTCTCGACGCGTCGACAGCGTTCGCGTACCTTGCGAGTCTCCCACTGGCCATGGACCTGCCGCTTCAAGTGCTTCCAACAACGCTGCGTTTATCCTCCGCACCGTTCGAGTGCTGGAAGCTCGGCGATGCGCTGTTGGTGTTTGCCGCCAAGGACGATGCGACCGTACACGTCGCGTGCCTCGTCGACCCGTCACCAAGTCAGCAGCATGCGAGGCTCCTCGTGCAGGAGCTTCGCCACCGATTCGCTCACGCGACGTGCAGCGTGCCTCCACTGCAGCGACTGGACGCCGGCGGCCTCGGACTCGAGGACGCTGGCTTCGAGCGCATGCCACTCCACCAGCTGCTGCTGCGTCGCCCTTGCCAGCCCAGTAAGCCGTAGACAATATTCACTGCCACCGCTCTTTAACCCATCGAATCATGAACGCGACCCAGCGTGCAGAGGTTGATGATACCGCGATGGGCAATGACGTTAAACAGGCACGACGTACAGGTTAAACAGGTTACATCCATTTTCGGTGATGGTACATGCTACTCTGCAACGCCAGCGGCGGGCAATTATTACTCTGCGAGGTTTGGATGAGAGCGACTGCATGGGCGCGTCCTTGGCGTCCGCGGCCTTGACGACGGCGGTCGGTCGGTGAGAAAGCCGGCTTTTTAGCACACGGATTATATTAGCTTGCTTTTTGTATGAGCTTTGAATGGTGGCATTTGGCGCGCTGTAAAAATAGCCAATCCGAGCGCAGGACGTGAAAAACTTGAAAACGTCGCCGGGATGGCCGACACGGACCACATCCGGAGCGTGCAGAGCCACCTCCAGCGCGGCGAGAAGGAGGCCCGCGCAGCGCTCGAGGCGTCTCTCAAGGACAACCTGGCATGGATCACGCTCTTCTCGACGGCGGCCAAGAAGGAGCTCCGGCGGCCGTCCATCAATGCCAAGAAGCGACGGCTCGTGCTCGACCTGATCTCGGACGACGATGTGCCCAGCATGCCAAAGCGGCCACGAATCGAAGCCGCGCCGAGTGACGACATTTCGGTCGCCGCGATCAAGGCCTCGCCGACGCCGAGCGTCGCGGCAAGTCCCTTGAAGGCTGACGTGCCACCGCCGCAGATCAAGCCGAGCAAGCCCAAGAAGAAGTCGAACAACGTCATCGTCATCGAGTCCTCGTCCGAGAGCGACAGCGAAGACGACAACCAGTCGCTCAAGAGCGTTGCAGCTGTGGTGCGCGACCCGACGAAACTCAAGGTGCCCGAACTTCGCAAAGCGCTGAGTGAGCGCAACCTCAGCACATTTGGCCTTAAAGCCAAGCTGGTGGAGCGACTCACTCGAGCCCTCGCAGACGAAAAAGCGCGCGAAGCCCGACGCGTCACGCCGGACGAGGCTGGCGTTGATGAATACGACGACGACGACGACGCGATTCTACCTCGGCTCAAATCCAAGGCCACCAAATCATTAACTAAGAGCGCTACTAAGCCAACAACGAGTACAGAGCCACTGAACCAACCAAGTCCTGACGCTGACGTGGCACCTCGCGTGGAATCGCGCGTCAAGGCCGCCGAGGAGCCATCACCGGAACTCAAAGCGCCGTCGCCGGTCAAGCCTGCTTCACCTGTCAAGTCAGCTTCACCGGTGCAACAAGCGTCGTCGCCAGTAGCCATCGCCGCGCCTGCGTCGCCCATCGCGGCAAAACCATCGCCGACGCCACCGTCGCCCGTCGCTGCGCCAACCGCTTCCATGGCTGCTCGGGTATCGAAGGCTGTCTCCGAGCCGTCACCGGTGGCCGCCGCATCGCCACCCCGGCCCACCGTCGACTCGTTCGTGGACGAGACACCCATGGCCTCGCCCGAGCGGCCGCCGCCCGTGCGCCACTCGCCAGGCAAGGTGCGCTCCAAGGAGCGCAAGCGCAAAACTCTGTTTCCGCCCGAGTCGCCTCAAAGCACATCGTTCTCGGCGCCGCCTAGTGACGGCCCGATCCTTTCGACCGCCGCGTCGCTCTTTGCATCGGCGACATCACCGAT